GGGGGGGGACGACGGGGAGCATCTTGGAAAGTTACAGCCCAGCTACTGGATCCAGAGGACCTCTCTGCCTCCTGGTCCACTGTCGTGTGAACAGTCCTTTGTACAGCCCACTGCCAGACTGGACCACTCCACCGTGTCTGTCCTCCCTGCTGCGATGGGCTGCAGCCTCCTGAAGCCCCCCATAAATCGTTCCTGAAACACAAAAGTTACTGTGATATAAAAAAGAAAAAGAACATGTATTTTGCTTTATCCAAAATTGCTTCCAAATGGATAATGGACAAGTATAAACCTTGAAATTATCAAGCTTCTAAAAGAAAGGGAAAGAAAAAAATATCTTGGTGACCTTATGGTACACAGAGTTCTTAGCTGTGATACCAAAAACAAGATCTGAACAACGAATCAGCCCAGCGCCTTGCTCAGCCTTCCCCAGAGAAGCTCATGGGCACAAACACAGATACCCATGCCTGGACAAGGTATGGATAGTGAGAAATCTCTGAACACTCACTCATTCCTGAGTGGGATGTCTCCACCAAGCCTCTCTCTCCTCAGGGACTCAGAGAACTCTGTGGAGGAGGCAGAAAGATTTTAGGGGCCAATGGGGATTGAAGGCAACAAGGAAGAGAACCTTCTAGACACAGAAGGACTGATACACATACGATCGCAGAGTTCAAGGCGGCAGGCACAGGGGCTGCTAAGGTGTAAGCTAGGTGGGGTCCCAGCACTGAGAGGGGAAGTGGACACAAACCCTGGTCCCTAATCCAGAAGCTACCTCCAATCGAAAACTGCTTGCAAAGGGAAAATTAGTTTTCCCCAACAGTGTGTCACTGGGTATATAAACCAGACTCGGGAAGGCTCCGTGTCCAGAGGTAGATGGTCAGCACAAAATGAGTTCAATGGCATCTTTGGAGGTGTTTATCTCATAACGCTTTGTCTGGCATTTTTAAAAGTCTTGTCTTTTGCGATACATTATGGTTTTTAGTTATGTGTTTTTTATGGGATTTCTGGGTGTGCAAATGTGTGTGTCTTTGTGTCTATATGTGTCTCTTGTACTTTTTCTTTGGGTCTTTTTGTTTCCTGTTTGTTTGTTTTGTCCTACTCTGGTTTGCTTGTTTGTATTTTGTTATATTTTCTAGATGCCTGTTTATTTTCTAATGAGAGAGAGATAGATAGATAGAGATAGATAGATAGATAGATAGATAGATAGATAGATAGAGTAAAAAGGGTGTGGATTTGGGTGGATGGGGAGGTGGGGAAGATCTGGGATAAGTTGGGAGAAGGGAAACCCTAATCAGAATATACTGTATGGAAAAAAATCTATTTTTAGTTCAAAAATGAGAGAGAAAAGTGATAAATTGGACCTTGTGAAAATAGAAAAAATAAGGTTTCTTCTGTGCAAAGACATTGTTATGAGAACAAAGAGACAAACTACAGATCTTCAGAAAGCATTCGAGGACATGCATGACAAAAGACTGGTGGTCATGAGATTCACAAAGGTCTCAAAACTTGGTAATAAAAAAAAAGGCAACTTGATTAAAAAATGTATAAAAGGTTGTAACACCCCATCAAAAGAAATCTTTGTAGAGTAGATCAACATATATGAAAATACGCTCATCATCATTTGTGACTAGAGAAAGGGAAGTTAAAACCAGAATAAAATACTGTGATTTCTTTCTTGGAATGACAAAGGGAAAGAGTAAAAAGGAGGGAAGGAAGGAAGGAAGGAAGGAAGGAAGGAAGGAGAAAAAGAGAGAGAGAAAGAAAGAAGGAAAGAAAGAAAGAAGGAAGGAAGGAAAGAAAGAAAGAAAGAAAGAAAGAAAGAAAGAAAGAAAGAAAGAAAGAAAGAAAGAAAGAAAGATAGACCGACCATAAAAGCTGTAATCAGCGGGTCATGCCTTTGCTGGTGAAGGTTACAAACTGCTGGAGCACTCGCATGTCTCTGAAGGAGCACAGAGGCGCTGCTCTGGAGAAAGTCTGACTGCAACTGTTGTGGGAAGAGGCAGGGCGTCTAGATCCACTCTCACCCGCAGGCACAGCCGCTGTCTGGCGGCGGAAGGGATGTGGGCACTACACAGAAGTAAAACCTTGACAGGACGTAGTGACTAGTTGGCTGCTACGAACGTCGTCGAGAAGGGATACGGCTGAGAGCAAGTGATGCTGTGCAGACATTCCATTGTGTGGTGGAAGGAAATCAGACTTTCTTGGTCAGGCTTGGTCATGTGTGGGTGGCTCCAAACGGAGGCAGTTGGGGGCTGCACATTGCTGGAACTTCCGTCCTCTGCTGTGAAAAGAGCATGCTCCCAGTGCTTTCCGTTCCTCTGTGGTGGGTCCCAGAACTGAGATTCATAGAGCTGACCTTGAAGGCCAGCCTGGCTCAGTGCTTCCCAGAAAAGACCTGCTGAGCTGGAACTCCGTGGGTGACCTAGAATTGTGAACTAGGTGTTCTAAACTGCTGAAACCTTGGGGTGTTGGTTCCGTAGGTTATTACATAAGAAGGATAATTCCAAAAGAGAATGAGGTGATTAGCAAGGAGCCAGGAAGGAGAAGCATGGAGCAAATTCACAAGGCAAGAAGAAGAGTGTGTCTTTTGTTTTGACTTGTAGGATAAGCAACAAGCCTTTCCTTTCAAGTTCTGCTGAGCTGGCCGATCTTTGGGAATTGAAATGGTCTGTGTACACTGGTCATCGCTGCATCTTCAAGGCCTGGCCTTGAGTACTTGACACACGGTAGACGTGCAGTGAGTGTGGAATAAACAGGGGCATGGGAGGTGCTAGCTGGGCTATGGTAGGAGGACGTTGTCAAAAGCACACACGTTAATCCCAGCCCAGGTGGGAAAAATATAATTAGAGACACGGAGCAACCAATCAGTACGTGGTGACGGTTCAAAGATGGGGGGCTGTGAATTTTGTAGGGAGGAATGTAGGAGCGGAGCGCCCGAAGGCTGTAACAGGCCCGGGTGTGGCATCGGATCGGAGGGTGGAGCCATTAAGAGAGAGCTTGAAGGCCAAAGACAGACAAAGAGGAGGAGAGAAGCGATGGAAAAACAAAAGCAAGGGAGGAGAGGAGTTCCAGAGAGCGGTCAAAGAGTATAATGTTGGAGGAACCAAGCCCACGCCTCCCTCTGAAGGGAAGTTGATGGGGAGCGTGGCCAGAGATGCCGTCTACCACGTGTGAAATTTCTATTACCGTCAAACGGAAAACGCAGAGAGCTATTTGAAATGGAATACAGAAATTAATGATCTGTAGGCACAGGTCTCTGTTGATTCAAGACACAAATATAACCGAGGGCAAACTAGCTTGCCGCGTCACTGTCAAGAAAATGTATGAAACTAGAGTGGGCAAAAAAAATCATTTCAAAAATAGAAAAAAATAACTTGACAGTGTCACCTCGCTAAAATACTCCCCCCCCCCCCCATTTTTCCTTTGGAGACAAAGAAAGCAGATACAGGGCATCCTAGACGTGGAAAAGATGTATTTCCTTCTAAGCCAAGTATTTTGAGAGAGAAGGTCACTTAGACTCGCTTAAATATGGCATCAATTCACACCACCGACAGTCTTTACAAATGCTAGCGGGGTGCCCAGAACCCCCAACACAAACTAGAACTTAGATAATGAGTTGATAAGCAAAGGTAAGAGTTGTTGGTAGAAAAGAACTTTGGGCTCTGTTTTGGATAAGGACAGTTTACTTGGCCAAACGAAGTAATTAACCAGAGAGCGATTACAGAGTCAAGGGGATTCATTCTTTGCTAGCACCCAAGGAGACAAGGCTCACTAGGTTTTGGGATAGACGCTAGAGAAACGTTTTCGAGGAACTGATACGAACTGTCTTGGTGAGCTGCTGACCGGAAATATACAACCAGGAGACTCTGGGAAAGACTGTTGAAACAACAGTAAGAAAATCTGCAGGGTAATAAATACTGCCGGGAGTTAGAAAAAGTGATAGTTTAAAGTTCAATTATAATGCAATTATTAGTAACTTCATAGAAATCGGGAAGGAAACAGAACAGTCGCTCTTTAGAAAGGATGGACCAAAGGGCCCCAGAGAGTAATAGAAAGCGCCATTTGTTTTTTGGCTTCTTATCATTATAAATGATGGACTATCAAAGCAACAGCAAGCCCATTAATCAAGACTGTAAACAATTAAAATCTTTTTTGCAGATCCGGGAAAAGCATCAGAATTATCAGGACAGTGCCAGAAAGAGGGACATAAATTTCAGCCAGCCCTTTGGATCTGGGAAGTGTTTAGGCTACCCAGCCAAAAAGTCAGAGAGCAAAAAGTCTAAACTAAGCTGATAACGACTGATCATTAATTAGAACTGAAGCCAGCTATCTCAGTCTAGAGAAATATCTTGGCTACTCAGCTAAGAGCCAGAAAGCCAAAGGTCCACGTTGGGTTCATGATAATTAATCATAAGCAAAGCCACTGCCCAGAAAATCCCCTGCTAGTGAAGGGGCGCCTTTGAGATGAAGCAGCCCCTGGAACAGCTGGAGGGACACTTCTGGGCACAGTGGATAGAGATGGGGGGGGTATTTCAGTTTTGTTTAGATGTCCAAATCTATGGATGAAGTCCCTGGAATTAATCACATACAAGTTCTGAAATTAGAAGGCAGGCTGAGCATCGAGTGTCTTGAGTCAAATGCGAGGGATTTGTTTTTTAATGAGAATACGGTCGTTGAATAGCATTTGAACAGAAGGAATGGGCAGAGAGAGAGAGTAAGGGAACAGTAATGTAGATCATTTAAATAAAAATGTGCCCAGAGGGGAATGAGATTCGGACCGCCTCCGAAGTCATTCATCAGGTGGGATATGAAAAGTGACGGTGAGCGGCTGTGGGAAGTAACTACATATGGGTCATTTAGAGAATTCAAGAACTGGATGGCATTTATAAGCTCATGCATACTGATATTCAAATTCATTTCTGCATCTGTAAGAAAACATTTTCCCAATCTAATCAGAGAAGGCACTAAATGACATTTTATGCACACATCCATTTTCCTTATAACAATGCCATATTTCATGAATTCTAGACTGTATACTATTTTCACATTTTAATATTTCTGAAGTCTGAATATATCATGGTATAATCAGAGGCAGATTTTTTTCCCTCCATTCCTTTCCCTATCCTCCCTTCCCCTTTTGAGAACAAAGTCTTGGTATGCTGCCAAAGCTGACCTCAAACTTCTGGTTCGAGTGATCCCCCTGCCTCAGCCTCCCAAGCATCTGAAAGTACCGGAGTGCACCACTGCACCTTGAGGAAGTATTTGCATCCTTGCTACCTGGAGTAATGGCATCTCACAGACTGTGCTCACATATTTGCTAGTTATTTTATGTTATACTAGGAGGTCACGCCATGTTGTAGCATAGATCATAGCTTAGTGCAGCCAAGGTCAAAAGGCAAGTTAGCACTATGCAGGGAAGAGACTGGCCAATGATTTAGGTAGCTGAGAATAAAGAATGCAGATGTCAACCTCAGTTGGAACAGTGTTTTCTTATAGCAAGAAGAGAGACTGAGCAGAAAACCCAGCCTCTTGCAAGGGCTCTGGTCCCTCATGGCTAGCAGATCTGTTCCACAGCAGACTTCAAGCTGTGAAGGATGTCGACCTTTATCTCATGGAGTCTGAAGTGCAGAAAGCTGAGGGTAAGCTGGAGGGCTACTGAGACATATATAGCTAAACAGCTCCAACAAAGGTTAGCATGTGTCCAGACGGAAGAAACAGACGGGACCAGCAGTGCTCTGAGCTCTGCATATTATGGGATTTGTGAGTCTGTCAACACATCAAGCATGAAGCGAGCTGCTTTAGAGGAACCAAGAGAAGGTGTCCAGTTGCGCTTGGCTCCTTTCCCTCACATAATTAGTGCTTGTGACTTGTTAAGCATTATAGCAACATAGAGTAAAGGTCCTCCATATTTCAGACGTCCCAGACCAGTGTTGGAGCTTGGGTTAGTGAAAGGGCCAGAGGGTGAAGGGGCTTGCCTGGTAAGCTTGGCGTGCTGGCTTTGACCCACAGAACTCACATAAACGTGGAAGGAGAGAGCCAACCTCACAAAGTCCCTTTCTGACCTCCGCGCACCCACCGTGATGTCCACACCCCCACCATGTGTAGACACAATATAAAAAAAAAATCAAACTTTAAAAGTGTTGAGGTTCTAGCAGAGTGAGTAACCTGCCAAACTTCACAACGCTAGTAAGGGCGGCAAGACTTGCAGGCAGTCTACGTGGCTTCAGAGTCCATGCACTTCACGGCTGTGCTTGCATCATGCTGCCGTGTTGCCTCTTCCAAGAGGACAGTCTTTGGAGAAGAAAGGATATTGGTGGTTCACTCAGAGCAGGAAGAGAGGAGATGGGAGAGAATGGAGAACACTGATTTTAAGCAAGAGGGGTACCTCAGGTCAGGAGGACTCTCTGCCTTGATCTTAGATGCCATCTCCAACTGAGGGTGTGCATTCCATGAAGCCAACACTGTGAATCACGGGAATGGTTTCCAAGCCCAGGCCCTCTGTCCCTGAAGTTCAGACGATGTGAAATAAAAAAAGGTACCAACCTGGCCAGCACCAAAAGATGCATGTTTTCATTTCTGGAAATTTCATTAAAATCCTCAGTGTCTTAATTGTCCAAACAAGGAATCATTCAAACACCAGATTCAAATCTGAACTCTGATTTTCTGTAGTGTGTGTGTGTGTGTGTGTGTGTGTGTGTGTGTGTGTGTGTGCGTGTTTAGAGAGTCACATAATTTTTAAAGCTATACAGCATAATCATGAGGGTAAACTATGAACATGTGTGATATTTCACAAATACCACTCTGATATATTTAGGGCATGTTTACATATTTTAAAACACATTAGGGTAATTTCCACTGGGAAAAATGTGGTTTTTCCCCAAAACCATGTAAATGATAATTTTGAATGCATAAGTACATTTTTGGTTAAATAGAACATCACCATCACTTAATATATTACTGGAGATACACACAGATGTTGTTTATGTTTGTGCTTTATGTAAATTGCCTTTTAGTGGAGAAAAAATGTATACATGAAATTTAAACTTGCTATTTTTTAACATGTTTTAGTTTATATATTTTGTTTATATTTCATAGAAAGTAAATATGAAAAAGCAGTAGAAACCAGCATGTTGTGTCACGTTTTCTGATAATTTTGAGTTAAAGACCTTGACCCTGTTAACTTCTATAAACCCTGAGAGTATTTAGGAAGAGTGGAGCCCCCCTATGCCCCCTGAACACCATGTTCAGCTGTGAACCTGTCTGTTCTGTGTTTCCTGAGAACAGAAATTGCCAATTGGTTTCTTAGTTCAGGACACCTCATCCAGTCCTGTTTGTATTTGTCTCTTGTGGCTGCCTTGATAGCTTACCATAACCTGGGCGGTTTAAATCAACGAAAAAGTTAGGTTGTAATTCTCTAGCCTGGCCGGTTGAATCAATGTGTCCTATTTCTGGAGGCTTAGGGGATATCTTAGTATCCAAGACATCTAACTAGCACTAAGACTAACTAAGACTTAGTTACTGTTCTAGTGTGATAAAGAGACACCATGACCAAGGCAGCTCATAAAAGAAAGCACCTAACTGGAGGCTTGCTTTCAGTCTCAGAGGGTGAGTGTTATCATCACGGCAGGAAGCAGACAGGCATGGTGCTGGAGCAGTAGCTGAGAACTTTACATCCTGACTCACAGGCAGGAGAGAGAGAGAGAGAGAGAGAGAGAGAGAGAGAGAGAGAGAGAGAGAGAGAGAGAGAGAGACCATCTGGGCTTTTGAATCAAAGCCCACCCACCCCCAGACACATACCACCTCCCACAAGGCCACACCTCCTAATCCTCCCCAAACAGTTCACTAACTGGGGACTATGCAAATATTTGAGCCTAGGGTGGAGGTGGCCATTCTCCTTCAGTGACACAGGGTAGAGTCCACTCCCTGTCTTTTCCAGGTTCTCATGGTTGCACCACTTGATCTCTGGTCGCTTCATGCCAGTCTCCATGGTCACATTCCATCTTCTGTGTCCATCTGAAGAAGTTCCCCTGCCTCGCTCATTAGAGATGTGTGACGAAATTGAAGGCCAGTTGGATAATCCAAGGCATCCTGCATGTCAGGACCCCGGTTACGCTCTGCATGTGTATGTCACCTCAATTTCATGGGTTGAAGCTCTACTCACCCCTGTGATGGTATGTGGAGGTGAGGAATCTGAGAAATAATTAGGATTACGTAAGGCCACAAGAGTGGCCCTTCTCGAGGAATGGTGTCCTTGTATAAAGACAAAGAACAGAAGATTTCTTTCCACTGTTTGAAGATACACCAAGAAGGCACCATCTGCAAACCAGAAAAAAGGGTCTCACCAGGCACCATGTTTTCTAGTGGCAATGTCTTGAACCCCCTGACTTTCCAAACTGTGAGAAATAAATACTGTTGTATTATCTGTCCAGTCTAAGGTGTTTTGTAACAATAGCCCAAACTGACTAAGATAATCCCTAATCACATCTACAAAACCCTCATCCGTATATGATAACCTAGTGCTGTTTTTCTGCCTGATTAGCGGCTGCACTTGAATCTACTGATAATTTAACTGCTGTCTGCAGCCTCTGGCCCCTCGGCTCAGGTTGAAGCTTGGTGGGATTTCTGGTCCTGCTGGCACTGGCTTGGCCTCTGAATCTAGTTTTTAATTAAGTCTCCATCATTTACCACTAAAGACTCGGGAGTCAGATGTTGAGGTGAAAACCTAGATCAGAGAAGCCAAGGCAACCAGCTGACCTTCCTTTTTGGCCAGAGACCCAGGAAGAGAGTATCTCTCTAGTTGTCCCAAATTAAAAAAAAAAAAAAACCAGGAAACTTCAAATCCCTCCCTGTTTTTTCCCATGTGTCTCTCTATCCATCTTCCTGGCTCTTCTGTACTCTCTATGGCTAGTCCCTGTCAACTAGTCGCTGGCTCCGCCCTCTGATTCAAGGTTGATTTTATCAGTGTAATCAAATACCCCGCAACAACCTAGTTAGTTTTATTTGTTAATGACACAGCCCAAAGTCATCTGACAGGAAAACCTCTTGCCTGGCAGGATGGTACTGTAACAGGCAGGGTTGAAAACTGGGTGAGATCTTTTATTAAAACTCTTCTCCCTCAGTGGCCACATAGCCCTTTCTGGAAGTATGGACACAGAGGGGAGAGGAAGCTCCCACCATGAGATGATTTTTGATGAAATAGTATTTTATATGAATCACTGACATGAACTACCACAGGTCAAGCCATTTCCATCCACATCCTCTTTTTTTTTTAATGAATGTGTGAGATCATAAAGGCCTGGGAGCAGAGACTAGCAAAAATAGTTGAATAAAAATAAGTTAGATGTGGGAGGTAGATGAGAGCTACCTTTAAACACTTCCTAACCAAATGTATGCTTTTCCTTTTCTATTCAGCAGCTGAAAATATCAGCTATAATAGCAATTATCATTTATGGAGAATTTAATTTTCCATGAACATTTCAAGTGTTTGACACAGATGAGTCCACTTAGTTCTCACCATAAACAATTCAGGCAGATGCTCTTAGATGGAAACTGGGGTATAGGGACCTCAAGAGACTTGTTCAAGGCCACAGGGTGAGTGGCAGGGTGGAGACTCCAGTTCTGGGTCAGTGACTCCTGGACCCTGCTCCCTTAATCACTGTACTGCATTCATCTAAGAAGGTGGAAGAGAAACCCAGATGGTGCTCGTGGATGGTGAACTGTCTTACCGCAAAGGCTCTGGAAGCAGGTCTGCCTGGAGATCACAGGGGTGGTGGGCCAACCATTCAGTTACAGTGGGAATTCTCTCTGTGCTTATCCAGCTGGGTTAAACAAGATGGGCCAAACTAAAATTCCGTTGTTTCTGTTCTAAAATATTATCTGTTTCTGAGAGAAACAGGTAGATTATAGATGCTTATTATATATGGACTAATATGTGCAGATCTGAGCTCCTTATTTATTTATTTATTTCTGGCTGATATTTTAACACCCTCTCTGGGGCATGTAAGTGGTGTGTGTGTGTGTGTGTGTGTGTGTGTGTGTGTGTGTGCATGCATGTTTGCACTGATTGCTCACCACCTTATATGTTGAGACAGGGTCTGCCCCTTGAACCGAGAGATCCTGATTTGGATAGTCTAGCTAGCCAGTGTGACCCAGGGATTTCCTCCTTCTCTTCCTCTTGGGCACTGGGATTGCAGACAGGCTCTATGCCTGACCAGCATTTACAGAATTGCTGAGCTTTGAAATTCAGGGCCTCAAGATTTCACTTCATCAGCTGGGCATGGTGGTGCAAACCTGTAGTCCTATCCTGCTGGAGGTGTTGGCCAGAGGATCAGGAGTTCAAAGTCATCTTCAGCTACAGAGCAAGTTCAAGACCATCCTAGATTCCATGAGAGTCTGTCGCTAAATGAATAAATACATTAACGAATGAATAAACTAAGGGGCTGGGGTGATGTCTCGGTGTATGAGCACATTTGTCAGGCAAACCTGAGGACCTGTGTTCAGCCCCCAGTTCCATATGCAAAGCCAGGTATGGTCATGTGCATCTGTAACCCCAGCACCATGGAGGTGTGGATGAGGCAGAGACAGGGGGATTGCTAGGACTTGTTGGCAGTCAACCTAGCTTCAAGTTCAGAGAGAGATCCCTCCTCAAAGGAATTAAGGCGGAGAGTGACAGAGCAGGACCTCAGTCACCCTCTGTTTGCCAGCTCCCAAGCATGAGTACCCACACATGGATGTTCAAACACTGCACACATATGCACCACACTCACTCGCACATCCGACACACACACGTTCATGAAATTTACAGAGTAAATATTATTGCTGGATAATTATCCATTCAATAATTCTTGTGTGATTCCACATGCGAGGTATTGGTTTCTGTTCTGGAGAGGCCACAATAGGTAAGCTGATCATCAAACCCAATCACCACATTACTCCCTAGATCAGTGGTTCTTAGCCTTCCTAATGCTGTGACCCTTTAATACAGTTCCTCATGTTGTCGTGACTCGAACCATAAAATTATTTTGTTGCTACTTCATAACTTTACCTTTGCTGCTGTTATGAACATAAATAGCTGTGTTTTCCGATGGTCTTAGGTGACCTCTGAGAAAGCGACAGTCGACCGGAGCGGGTCACGATCCACAGGTTGACAACTACTGCCTTAGAGCTAAAGCCAGAGGAGACCAAGTGTAAACTAGACAGACAATGGCTGGGGGGAGTTCTCGGTTAGCTGAAGGGAGAAAGTGGTGGAAAGGCACTATCTAAGGGTTGACCTGTGAGAGTGTACCTTCAGCGAGGACCAGGTGGTAAAGAAGGTGGTGGCGTTGCAGATGGCTTTGTGGGGAGGCCACAAGGAGAGTGAGGTGGCAATTGTGAAACCAAGTACAAAAACCAACCTAACAGAAAGTGTTCAGGCAGAGGGAGTCGGCCTTCAGAAGGGAAGAGGGGAGGGACCCAGTGACAGGAAATGGCAGATTTAGCACCCTGAGGGTTATCTGTGGCTTGTTAGTTTTAGTATGTATTTGGGCTGGAGTTGGAGACACAGGAAGGAATTCAAGTAAGCCTTAGAACATCAATTATAATCTATTATAAGAAACTTTGCCTTGGACAGGAGCAGAGTGGAGCTGTTAGGAAACGAGGTTTACAGGAAGGATGGTTTGGTTTTTTTTTTCTTAATTCAATGGGAAACATTTTTTAAGTTGCTTCTATTTTTGTTATTTATTAAACTTTAGACCTAAATAAACCATCTTGTGGAAATCTAATGCTTCTAAAGGAGTTCTTGTGTTTGTTTTGACCCACAGTATCTCTGTGAATGGATTTACAAACATGTTTGCTGAGGTGAGTGCCAGGAAGAGTTGGGACAAGAGGCAGAGTACACAGATCTCTAAGATAGAGAACCGGAACCCAGCAAGACAGTTTGGTGAAATGCTGGAGCGTGGGAACAAAGCATGAATGTTAGTGTTCTTGTACTGAATTCTGACTGACCTTCATCACCGTCTGATCTTAACAACACTACAGTAATCTCTCCAAGGGAAGTGGATTTCTAGTATATAGTGGTATGAATGAAAATCTCTCCATTTGCTGCTAAAGAGACTGGCAGTAGCCACAAATTCACCAACAGATGGCACCACACTGTTTCCAGACGAGCTCAGACAGAGACATTGTCCATGTGACTTTCAAGTCCTACTTTTAAGTGCCGGTGGCAGGTAAAAATAGACCCCCCAGGGATACACTTTGCTACTTCAACATTTATATTTGGATTGTTAAATTTTGTCATTGAGTTATTAAAGTATGTTTCTACGTATTTACTTACATGGATATCTAAATTCTTAAGTTTGGTCCTTTTCTTCAATTAGAACTTGAAAGAGACGAAAAGGAGACTGACCTACACCTCAGAGAGAAATATCCACAGGTTCTTGTAATTAAAATGTTTGTGAATGGGGGGTGGAGGTGAACCCTGGAGGAGCTGGGGATGACTATGATCAAGAAACATTGTATGAAATTCTCAATATATTTCTTTCTATATTGGCCTTTTGTGTGCATGCATGTGAAGAATGCCTGTATATTTGGCACTTAAGGGACATGATTTCTGTTAGTTAAAAAGCATTACTGTGAAGATGATCCTCAAGGAGACTTCCCTCAGCTTTAGGATTGAGCACATTAGCTGGCATCGTTCTGTCTGGGTGGAGGTCTACTCCCCGAAACTCCTGCCTCTACCTCACCATGTATTCATTTCCTGGGGCTGCTGTAACACATCACCATAAATTTAATAGCTTAAAAAAACAATATAAGAAAGTAGGAGCAGGAGCATAAAAAGTTCAACGCCAGCTTGGGAGGCTACGTAGTTAGATCATGTCTCAAAACGTCCAGACTCAAACTAAACCAAACCAAACAACAACAACAAAAAAATCAAGATAACCTCGCTGACCCCCAACACAATCTATTATTTTGTAGTTTTAGAGAAGAGGATTGGGACATGGGACATCATCTGAGTTCCTTTTGGGGGGCTCTAGGATGGAAGCCAATGCCTTGCCTTGCTTTCAGGATGAAAGCGTCCCCTGCCTCCTCGCCCCTTTCTCCATCTTCAAATCCAGCAGCAGAACACCTGCCAATTTCTCTTCCCTTCTCTGACTTCTGACCTCTGCTGCTGTGATCATCTGTCTTCCCCGACAGCGCTGTCTCCCTCCCAGAAGGATTCCCAGGCCTGCAGTGGGAATGCCGACCCGCGTAAGCCAGGGTAGCCACCCTCCCCTCAAGCTGCTGGACTTGATTGCTCTTACAATGTTCTGTGTGTCATGCAAAGAGACATATACACAGGTTCTGGGGGTTTGAAAATGGGCATCTTTGGATATCACACACCAGTCACCAGAGTCCTGAATTGTGTTGTGACTTTCTTACGTAAGACACAGTCATCCAATATGTCTG